GGGGGGGGGGGGGGGGGGGGGGGGGGGAGGGTGGAGAAGAGGAGGATCTGTGCTTGGTATGTAAAATGAATAGAAAATTTCTTTTTTTTTTTTTTAATTTTTTTCCCCAGGCTGGCCTCGAACTCGTGATCCTCCTGCCTCTGCCTCCTTCAGCAAATCCTACCGGTGTGCGCCACCACAACCTGTCAACCTGTGAGACCCTTTTTTGTTTTGTTTTGTTTTGTTTTTTGTTTTTTCGAGACAGGGTTTCTCTGTGTAGCTTTGCGCCTTTCCTGGAACTCACTTTGGAGACCAGGTTGGCCTCGAACTCACAGAGATCCACCTGGCTCTGCCTCACGAGTGCTGGGATTAAAGGCATGCACCACCACCACCCCGGAAAATTTCTTAATAATAAAAAAAGAAGAGGCTGTCTGGGGCATTCTGTTCCAGGCACACTAAGTTTGAACTATATATAACACAATGTCCAGGTGGAGCAGTTAAGTGAGAAACAGAATACAAGAGCTCAAGAGAGAATTCTGGGTTTGTTATTGATTTGGAATCACTGGCATATTAATGGCCCTTAAAACAGTACGAAAGGATGATAGAGTAGCTTGGGATAGAAAGCGGACAGTGATGGGGGTGGGGCGGGGTGAAACAGGTTGAAGACGAGACTGTTCACTACGTTTGGCTGTGGTGCAGTGGTTAGGGCAGAAGCCAGGCCAGAAGGATGAGCGGATGAGTCAAGTTCACAAAGCAGATGTAGACTGTCCCTGACAGAAATTTACACATGAAGGAGCTGAAAAACAGGCAGTGAGTAGGACCAGATCACCACTGCTGTGCCCAGCTAGATGCACCACGGGCATCTTAAAGACAATGAATGAATGACAGCCCAGAGGCCTCTTCAGGTTTGGGGAGGGATAGCAGGAGGCCTGAAGTGCATTCGTCCTGAGTGGATGTGCTGGTGGGTGTGGGAAGGAAAGGAAGGATTTGCTTGAGAAAATCCTTTGCTGATATGGGCACTGGCATTTTGGGGGACTTAATACCAGGACATCCTAAGAGGGATGGAGGGAGGGAGGCTGGCTGACGGGACAGGAAGGCTGAAGGCAAACTGAAGCTTAAAACTGTAAATGGGAAGGCTGAGAGAAGAGCACTAGCAGCCTGCTGAGCCTGGCTGGGGCAGCTGGACATTAGGCTCCACCTCTCTAAACCCTGGGGATCTCCCAGCCTGTCACACAGAGGCGGGAATTGGGCTACATCCAAGGACCAACAGCTCCTCCCTCCCTTCCCCTTCCTGTTTCAGCTTCCCACCCAGATTCACAAGGCATCACATCTGCTGTGGTCATACCCCAGCCTCAATCTAGGGTTCGCTAGACTGATTCCCTGAGGTCTTCCTGCTCCTGGGTCACCCCTCTGTTCTAGACGTAGACCTCCAACAGTCCCAGACTCAAGTGGGCTACTTATCACAACAGACACTTGGAGGATCTTGGACACAGAGCTAGGTTGTACCCTCCTTCCTTGGGTGTCTTTGTCCCTTATCCCACCCATATCCTTTACGGCTCAGTCCCAAAGGCACTTCATTCCTCATTCAGCATTCACTGGACACCTCTGCAGCGATACAAAGATAAATGGACACAGCTGAGCTTGCATGGATCCCACAATCAAATAAACAGATTTCTGCCATGCAGTGTGGTGATGAACATGACAGGGAGACACGATTGCTCTAGGAGCACAAAGTAAGTTCCCTAACTTGGACCTGATGCAGGGATGGGCCCAGAGGAATAGACAGTGAAGATGGGTAAGTTATAGAGCACATGGTACCTATTGTCTGGAAGCTGCATCACTCACTGTGGCAGGAGAGGGCTAACAAATGAGATGCAGAGCTAAGCAGGGGCTGCACCACAGCATGCTTTGTTGCCCTTATTAAGGACTTTAGACTTTACCCCCTTCCCTGCTAGGGGATTAAGGCTTTATCCAAAGTGCAAAAGAAAAGTTTGGTGGTGGTTGGAGGGAGGGGGAGGTTAAGCCCAGAATGACAAAAGTAGATTTTTTTGATTGCTGTGTGGAAAATAGAGGGGTCAAGAGTGGAAGTTTAAGAGACTGGCTTGAAGAGAGTGGGTGCTAGGGGAGGCTGAAATAGTTTTCACAGGGAGAAACCAATAGAACCTGGTAACTGGTTGGTACTATATGAAGAGCCAGGGTAGAAGAAAGGATTAGAAATGGTTACTAGTTTTCTAGCTTGAGAACTAGAAGAGTTTGGGTGACAGGGTGATAAGTCCAGTGTTTAACACAATGACTCCAAAGTGCCCACGGGACACAGTTCAAGTGGAACAGCTCTCAGTTGGGAAGGCAACCTGAAGTACAGGAAAGAGAAGACATGGATTTAGATTTCTTTGGTATAGGGATATTCCTGAAGCCACAATGAAGTAGATGACACAAGGGGAGAGCAAGAAAGGAGGGCCTATAACTTAGCCCCCAGGAATGCCAACGTTTAAGATAAGGGCTCAGAATATAAAGATGCAAAGAAGAAGGGGAAGGTATCAGAGACAGGAACGGCACAGAGGAAGCAAGCTATTTGGAGGCAAAGGGAGAAGAGACCCTTATCATCAAGCCAATGATCATCACTGTGAAATGTCAGACGCACCATCATTTAAAGTCACCAAAGAAGCTGTTCTAGCTTCAAGTAGTGTGCTTTCTAGGAGCTGGACAGAGAGCTAAGAAGCTGATTTTGAACAAAGACAGCTAATGCTAAATAAATGGGATCCTTGACATAGAGGGGAAAAATATGTTTCAAAGCTTTTCAGGTTTTCCAAATTCTCAAATAACATCCAACTTCCCCCATGATGTTCTTCTCCAATCACACTAGATTCCCAGTGTACAGGATTTACACAGCTGTGAGTTGGAGGTGACCACAGGCATTGTTGAGGTGTGTATGGGTGGAGGGAGTTGGCTAGGCTCACTTGCTAAAATGACTCACTCCTACTCAGTAGCCTCTAGGTATATTTGATCATTTGAGGCTCAGAAAAATAACAAATGTCTGCAGGCTGTAGCCTTTGGGCTTTCTCCAAAAGAAAAGTAACAACAATGGATGAGAGAAAGCCCTTAAACCTGAGCAACCCTTCCCTTCCCAGGGAAGGAAAGTGATGAAATTCACATCACTCATCCCCCTACCCCCGAAATGCCTGGCAGAGTAAGTACATGGATCATTCAATCAAATGTCCCTGGACACACTCTAGGCCAAGCCCTTCATCTAGGAACTAGAGACACAAAGTAGGATCAAGTAGCTCCCTACCTTTCACCT